CATTTTTCATCGTATTAAAGATTTTATTTTAAAATCAATTTTAGAAGTAACTTTAAATTTTAGTTAAGACTAAATTTGTGCAACTAACATAAAAAATTCAAAATTCAAACAAAATATAATATAGTATTTTCTTAAAAAAAATATTTTTTTAACATTTCATACATTTCAAATATAAGATTAAATAATACTAACAAAAGTATCAACACATTCAAGCAAAGTTTAAGCATTTTTTTTTTTTTTTTAATAAAAGTATCAACACACTCAAGTATCAACATATTTCACGGTATGAGTATTTATGAAATCTCCGGAACCGTAACAATTACTTTTTCAGTTCGGTTCGATTCGAAGAAATTCAAACGTTCCACAATTATTTTTCGATTCGATTTTTGGAACGGTTTGAAATTTTTCGAGTCTCATACTCAGCTCTAGTATAATCAACTCTATAGACGTTGACCCTTGTAAACATTAGATAGAGAAAGTCATGGCATGCAATATAAAACCGATGGAAAAAATAAAAGAAAAAGGAAGAAGAAATGATTTGCCACAACCAATGCTAACAGCCCAAAAGTTGTATAATAATAACTTGTACTATCCAAAATAAAAAAATAAAAATAACACATTTGTATAATCTGATTCGATCATGAAACAATAATTGCCCTGTAATATATATATATATATATATATATATATATATATTTCTTGCAAATTAAATTCTGTTTTTCGTGTTCCAATAACAATAATCCCACATGGAAGTATTATTTGAATTGAATTTTCACCGCAAGCCCCTTTTCTTCACAAAACTATGCATTTATTTAATTTTTATTTCGGTTTCAATAGTCACGGGATCAATTTTTTATAAACAGTAGATAGGGTGTGATAAGATCGTGATGATATTATATTACCTTTTGTCACGATGCATTTGTTGGGCATATTAAAAATGTAACATTTCGTAATTTTGAAATGTATAATCAGTAATTTATGTAATTAATACTTTGTATTTAATACAGTTTGACTCTGATTATGGATTTGGATGATCAATTATAGGTGTTTAGTGGTTGTAATTGCGATTCTGTGACAGATTAAGACAGATAATGTAGAGATTGTATATTTTAAAATTAGGTCATGCCTACGGCACAAGTGCATCATATATCATTGTTGTTGCTAAGCATGACATGTGAATGGCGTCCTCTTGCTACTAATTTGTGCATTTTATGGGTCATGTTTGATAAGCTAAGTAGGTTTAGACATGGCCAACTGGCGGGTCGGTTCACGACCTGGACCAGCCCAACAGGTCGTCGGGCCTCAAAACTTGGGTCTTGAATCGACCCGTCTATATGCAAGGGCGGTTCATTGAACCAACTCGAACCAGTGGTTTATTAAACCGTCGGTCTTTTTAGTTAAAAAGAAAAAAAGTCAACTCATTTTTTTGGTCCAGAACCGGTGGTTTAAAAAAAAAAAAAACCAAAGCCCAAAACGGGCTCGGTATTACCACGGGTCCGGTTCAAAGAAAAGTACATACGGACCAATTCTGGGTCGATTAGGGGGTCTGGGCCAACCCTGGCCACGTTTAAGTAGATTAAAGGTAGCTTGCAAAATCTTCAACAAGGCCAATCAATTCGTCTCACCAATATATATATTTATTATCAATGTTCTAAAAGTTGTTATTTGTTCACATGACGGTAGACTAGAGCCTAGCATTTAGAGCATCTCCAATGGCCATTCTATTGTTCTATTTTATTGCCACATGACACATACAATCCTATGTGACATGAAAAATGTCTAGAAGGTCTTCTAGATGTAGAAGTCATTCTAGAATGCTTCTACTATTTATTATATATTGCTTATTCATTTTCTCTCTTCTCCACCCAATTATAATTTTACATATCACAAATGATACCACAATTCATATTAACCATTGGAGACATAATTTTTTAATTTCCATTCTTCATGCCATTCAACACAAAAATGGACAATATTCCATTGAAAGACTATTTAGTATGTCTGGTGTTAACTAGGTAGCACTTAGACAGATAAGTAAAAATATTAATATTTTTTTTATTAATCATCATGCAAATTTATAAGGTATAGTACATAAATATATTAATTAATACGGTCGGGTCGATGTAATTGAGAAAGGAGAGGAAAGAGACAAGCAATACGGAATTGACACGAGAGCTGCCAGTGACGGACTAGAAGGAAAAGCTTGGGCATAGCTCTTAAAGTTCTAGCATCGCTTATTACGAAAAGTATTTATATAAATGATGGACACTGGAAAAGACTCAACATGAAGCGAAGCGGAATTCAGATATAGAGAAAATAAGCGAAGCGAAACGCAATAAAGTTAAAGAACTCCTTCGGAGAGGAAGAATCTCGACTTACAAGGAGTGGGAAGTTTACATTGTCCTACTAGCATTCTCGCTTTCTGTTATGCATCTCTTGATCAAGTTTGCTTGCCCAACTCTCTCCTCTCAAATATTTAATTTAGTAATAATAATTGTATTAGTTTTAATATAATTATTCAACATATTTATCATATAATTAATGCAAATTTTATATATAATCTATTTTATTGAAATAAATTAAAAAATTACGAAAAAAAATTATGGCCGCCTAAACACCGCCTAGTTATCCGAGTGTATAGAGCTTATTATATAAAATGTTACACTTTTGTTTGTGTTATATTATATATGAATATATATAAACATTTTACGAAGTGGTTGACTAGCCTTTTAGAAATTGACCTAAAACATCAACATATATTTAGTTATTTATTAATTTTGTAGCAGATTTTCTGGCTTCGTTG